ATAAGTAACATAAAAGAGAAAGCACAGAATTGAAACAATAATTAATAATTGAGTGGGGTAGGGAAGCTGCCTCAGGTGAGACAGTCCTAGAAGAGGCTCTCAGGCAGCTAGGAATACGGCTCTCTACCAAGGAACCATTGAAGCTGACTTCAAATTGAAGAGGGCACCTTTATTTATTTTTTTTTCAAACTTTAAATGATACAAACACTCAACAAGCTGGGAATAGAAAGAAATGTCCTCATGCTGATAAAGAGCATGTACAAACCACCCAGAGTTAACATCATACTTACTGGGGAGAATCTAAAAGCATTCCCCCTAAGATTAGGAACTGTACAAGGGTGTACACTCTTGGTGCTTTCCTTCAGCATTGCACTGGAGGTTCTAGTCAGGCAGTTAGGCAAAAAAGATAAATAAAATGTATCCAGATTGGAGAGGAAGAATTAAAGCTATCACTGTCTGCAGATGACATAACCCCATACAGAGAAGATTCAAAGAAAACCACTAAGAAAGTATTAGAACTAAGAAATACATTCAGCAAATGTGCAGGGTACACAACAAATATACAAAAATAAATTATACTTTTCTACACTAACAATTAACAATCCAAAAGTGAAATTAAGAAAATCATTTCATTTACAACAACATCAAAAAGAATAAAGGATTCAGGGATAGTTTCAACAAAAGAATTGCAAAACTTGCATTCTGAAAACTATAAAACATTGCTAAAAGAAAATTTAAAAGATCCAAGTAAATGAAAAGTCATTCTATGAACATAGATTGGAAGAATTAATACTTTTAAAATGTTAAACTTCTAAATGTATTGATTGGTTCACCATGATCCTTATCTAAATCTCAATTTGCCTTTTTTTGTAGAAATTGACAAGCTGATTCTAAAATTAATATGGAAATCAAGAAACCCACAATAATCACAATAGTTTCAAAAAATAAGAACAAAGTTGGAGGCCTTACATTTTCTGATTTCAAAATGTACTAGTAGGCCACAGTAATCAAAACAGTGTGAGTTTTGACATAAGGGCAGACATATATAGACCAATGAAATTGAATAGGGTCCAGAAGACAAACAAAACAGTGTGAGTTTTGACATAAGGGCAGACATATAGACCAATGAAATTGAATAGGGTCCAGAAGAAACTGTCACATATACAATAGATGGTCAATTGATTGTTGACAAGTGTACCAAGAAGATTCAATGGGAAAAAGAATAATTTGTTCAAAATTGATGCCAGGACAACTGGATATCCATACACAAAGGAGGGAAGTTGGATTCCTACCCCACATCCCACCAAGAAAAATAAAGAAAGAAAAAAACCCTTAAATTTGATCGTGGACTTTAATATAATAGCTAAAATGAAACAAAACAAAACAAAACAAAACAAAAAAAACCTCTTAGAAGAATGTATATGGGTAAATCTTTGCAACCTTGGGCCATGAAATAGTTTCGTGGCCAGGGATGGTGGCTCATACCTGTAATCCCAGCACTTTGGGAGGCTGAGGCGAGCAGATCACGAGGTCAGGAGTTCGAGACCAGCCTGGCCAACATGGTGAAACCTCGTCTCTACTAAAAATACAAAATAATTAGCCAGGCGTGGTGGTGTGCACCTGTAATCCCAGTTACTTTGGAGGCTGAGGCAGGAGAACCAGTTGAACCTGGGAGATGGAGGTTGCAGTGGGCTGAGACCATGCTACAGCACTCCAGCCTGGGCAACAGAGTGAGACTCTGTCTCAAAAAAAAAAAAAAAATAGTTTCTTAGATATGACAACACAAGCACTAGTGACAAAAAAAAAAAAAAATCCAGATTAATTGAACTTCATCAAAGTTAGAAGTTTTGTGATTCAAAGACGCTGTCGAGAAAGTGAAAGGAGAAGATACAGAGTGGAAGAAAATATTTGTAAACAATATACTTAATAAAGGACTGATCCCACATATATGAAGAACTCTTAAAACTCAATAATAAAAAGACAAATACTCAATTTAAAAAATGGTCACAGGATCTGAATAGCCCTACCTCCAAATATATACAAACATATATAAATGGCCAATAACCACGTGAAAATATGCATCGTTAGTCATTAGGGAAATGCAAATCAAAACCACAATGAGATAACACTTCACACCCACAAGGAAGGCTATAGTAAAAAAGAGAGATCACAACAAGGATTTCCGAGGATTCAGAGAACTGGAAGCCTCACACACTGCTGATGTGACTTTCAAACGGTGTGGCCACATTTTGAAAAACGTTTTGGCAGTTCCTATAACTTTTAAACACAGAATTATCCTACGACCCACTCCTGATCATATACTGAAGAGATATAAGAATATATGTCAGCACTAAAACGTGTACCTGCAAATTCATAGCAGCAGTATTTACAACAGGTAAAGAGTAAAATCAATCCACATCACCTGATGACCGGACAAACAAAATGTGGTCCATCTACACAATAGAATATGATTTGACCATAAAAAGAAATGGGGTGTGAAACCTGCATGCTACAACACACATACACTTTGAAAAACGATGTTAAGTGAAAGAAGTAAGTCACGTAAGACCACATAGGTATGAGTCCATTGATATTCAACGTCCAAAATAGGCAAATCTTCAGGGGGCATAAGTAGATTAGTGGTTGCCCAGGGCTGAGTGTGTGGGACAATGTCAAAAGTGACTGCTAACGGTTACAGAAATTCTTCATAGGGTCTTAAAAATGTTTTAGAATTAACTGTAGTTATAGATGCACAACTCTGTCAATATACTAAGCACCATTTAAGCTTGTGAGTTGTAAGTTATGTAAATTATATCTCAATAAATTTTTTTTTAATGAGGAAGAAATAGCCAAGCAATAAGCTGGGAGAGCAGTAACTCAAGCCACACTAATCAAACCATGGTCCATGGACTAACAGGGTTAGCATCACTTGAGAGCTTATTACAAATGCAGATTGTGGCCACTGCCCTAAATCCATGGAATCGTATTCTTCACATTAATAAGATCCCCAGTTATTTATATGCACATTATAATTGAGAAGCACTGGCCTAAGCAGAAAGAGGATAAAGTCAAGACTCTGAAGTGTTACGTTGGAGAAATAGAAGCCACCTGGTTTAGCATGAAGAAAACGATAAATGGCATGGAGTTAGTGGGGAAAGGCAAGCATGGGACATAGTTGCAGGGCTTACAGTCTAGGGAATGAAATTTGGATTTCACTGCAAGGAAGGAAGATCAAAAGGATGGAACAAAGTAGTGGCATTATCACAGTTGCTGCTGTATGGAATATTCAGTGGGCCAGATCAAGAGCAGAAGTTGAGAGACTAGTCAGTTGTTGGGCAGAAAGACATTTGTGCCTTGAACTAAAATGGCAGTAGCGGAGATGAAGAGGAAAGTTAGATTACAAGACGTATTTTGCAGGTAGAATTGACAGGACTTGCTGACAATTAAATACAGGTGGAAAGTGAAAGAAAAGCTTCAGGGGTGACTCCTGGGCATTTAGCATGAACTCCTGAGTCAAGGGTGGTTCCATTTACCGCCACAGGAACAATTGATGGGGACAGGTATATAGCACCACATAAAAAGAAAGCTCAATTTGGAGAATGTTAAGTTTGAGCTTTCTGAAAGGTGTCCAAGTAGAGATGTCAAGTAGACAGATGAATGTGTGAGTCTAGAACTCAGAGATGTTTGGGCTGACGATATAAATTTGAGAGTCATTAACATAAAGATGCCATTTCAATGAGATCACCTAGGGGGAGTGTAGAGAATCCAAAGCAGTTTTAAAATGCCAAAGAGGGATGTTAGTTTCACTATCTGATTGCCAAGCCAGGAAAACACTGGGAACTCTATGGGGAGTGAATATTAAGTAGAACCAGTCTTATGGGAACTTGGAATCGAAAAGAAGCATTGATAGAGACGGACTTTTTGAGAAGGATATTTTCAACATATTTAATAAGTGGTAAGATAATGGTATTAACCTCCCAGACCAGGCTCTGAGCACCTGCATGGTGATGAAAAGCCCCGTCCTTACTCACAGTTTAGGAGAGGAAGTGAATCAAGAAAATGTTGGAGATAGGTGGGTTTAAGGTAACAGAACAGCAAAGGACATTCAAGGAATTTGGGCAGGATCTACTCACCAACCCAAATGAACTATTTCAGTATTTCAGCAACTGAGACACCATCCTGGTACAGTCTGCCTGAGTAGCAGTCTGCCATCCACACAGGGACCCAAAAGATGGAAGACGCAGTTTTAATTAATAAACTGGCCTAAAAAGTGAACTAGAGAGATACTTAGTTTCTTTTTAAACCTAATTCATAATTTTTACTAGTAAAAAATCTGTTTGTGCCCCAATATAACTCTTATTTCCCCTGTTTTGAATCCTACAGCAAGCTGTTTAAATGCCTCTTGCTTCATTAGAGGTAACAAGGAGTGTGTCTTGCTTATGTTCCATATTCAGACAGTGCTTAGCCCAGTATTCTACAGTAAATGCAACACATGTGCAGTTTTCAGTTAAATGTTTGCTGAATAAATGGATAAATATATGATGACTAAATAAATAGGAGTAAAAATGAGGCCAGAAAAGCCATTCTCTCATCCCAACGAGTCAGACACAGGCCGCAATTCAATTTCAGAAACTTGTAGCCAGAAGGGACCTTATGTACCACTAAATGCATTGGTTTTCAGACTGTGCTCCGGGAATCCCTGTGGAATCAGAACTGCAGCCTTCCTGGGACTGCCTTTAAAAGGGAGAGGGAAGGGGTTTTGAGGTGGGTGGCAGTTTGGTCCCCTAATCCCTCTTCAACTAGAGAAACAATTTTATCTGCTTCCAAATGAGATTTCATTAAAACAAATGATTTAATTATTTAAAAGGGTCTTAAATAAAAATGTCTAAAGCTATGATGTGATGTAAATTGCTCTATTTCTGTTGTTAAAACCCAAAGAGGTTTTGTTCGTTATTAAAATGCAGAGACCCAGAGCAGTCAGGCGACTCTGCCAAACTTACACAGTTAGTAGAAAAGAGACCGGGACCTTGATGACGCTGGGGTCCTTCATGCTGTTTCTGCCTCAATTCCTACACCAACTGCTGGGGTGAGCTCCCCACCACCACTGTCCATCTGTAAGCTCACCGGAAGACCACAGGACCACAGCGCTGTCCCAGCTGAATCAGAGCTTGAGGTTGAAAGAGCACAGCCCACTCCTCTCAGATACCATCCTGTCCCCTGGCCCTTACCTGACTTATAGGAGAATTTAAATACTGAGCAAGGCATGGAGAGGTGCCCCATCCCAGGCTCCAAACCTGAATCAATTCAGAATCCAGCTCCGAGCTGTACTGGGCGTATGATCTTGAAGCCGAGGAGATGCATTCTGCCAAGAAGCAGATGGGCAAATCAGATGATCCCTGATCCTGACTCAATTCATGATTCAGAAATATGAACCATTTCTCATTAGACCTCCAAAGTAACTCCCGGTTTCACATGGAAAAAAAAGTGAATGTTTAAGTAGAGGCGTAGCGACACTGAGGGCTTGGCAGGGGTCATGGGCCTCTGACAGGGAGGCTTTGTTTCTTGTGTCTGGACAGGCAAACGTATCTCCCATTCTGCCTTCCTGAAGCCCATAAGTACCTCCTGGCCAATGGTCAGGTTCCTTTCTTGGCAGTGGACCTACTAAACGTAAGCAGGGTATTTACATTTTCCATTATATGTTTTAAAATTTCTTTGGCAGAAGAGCTGTAAATGCAAAGCAATAGCCTGGCTGGGAGGCAGGGGGCCATAATTAAAATCCCTTTTTGTTTTTTAAATGGCTTATTAAAATGCTTGTGAAACCTGCTGCACAAAGCAGCAGCCAAAAGCCCGTTGCTGCTAAATGGAATGAAATGGATTTTTCAAATGTCACGCTAGTATCCACTTAATAATACATTTTCCTATAGACAGGACAATAATATATATTTTAATCACTTTTCTACAGGCAAATAGACTGCACAGGAGCTGCCCTTCACTGGCACTTGGAAATTATGAATTTTTCAATAACCTTTTCTATTATTCATCCTGTGTTATTCCGTAACATTTCTGCATGAGGAATGTGCTTCCCAGACACTTTATGAATCTCTTCTATTATTTATTAAACAGCAAGGTGTCTCCCTACAACCCTCACCCCAATCCCCCAGAGAGGGCTGCTGGGAGGAGGGTCCAAACATGCACAGTTACATCCCGGTCATTAATAATTTCATACCTATAACAGAAGCCGATTGAGCAAGTTCCTCCACGTGGCTCAACTTTGGCCGCCAGAGGTAAGCTGCCTCAGAGAGGTGGTGTGTACTCTTTGGGAGAAGGCAAGGAAAACAATCAGCCTAAGGCAGCCTCTGTTTATAGCAATTGGGGCATATTCTCTACTCCTAAACTATTCTTACTCCAGAAGGGAGTCACCTGCAGGGTCTAACCCTGACTAGGGAGGCAGGATTCCTGGCTTGCATTTTCTGCTATAGATCCAAGGTCTGACTGGGAGAAATCCCCAACCTTTCTTCATGGGTCAGCTGCAGCCTTGACTTCTCTGGGAAGTCTTTCCTGACATACTTCAGACACATAAACTTTTTCTGTTCTTTTGGGGTGCCCTGTCCCTTGCCTATCATGGCATTTGTCACACGACAATATTTAATTGTTATAAGCCATACGAGGGAGGGGTGGGTTCTCTTCTGCTCACCCTTATGACATCGATGACTGGAAATATATTAAGCAAAGGTGTTCAATAATTATTTACAATTAATGAATGGATACATAAGAAATATGGCCAACAAAATGTTTCTCTCTAAAGCAGCTGTTAACAGGGTCTAAAAGATGCTGAAGATCTATGTAGCAGAGTCATTTACCGCTCATCAAATATCCATGCACTCTGACACTTTCTCCCTTCTGTCCCCTTGAAGTGAGTCAGGGCCACATGACTAGTTCTGCTCAAGAGACTGAGTAGACAGGGCATGGTGTGCTCAGGGGCCAATGCATCAAGAATGAGAAGAGAGGCCAGGCATGGTGGCTTACCCCTGTAATCCTAGCATTGTGGGAGGCTGAGGTGGGTGGATCCTCTGATGTCAGGAGTTCAAGACCAGCCTGGCCAACATGGTGAAAGCTCATCTTTACTAAAAATACCAAAATTAGCCAGGCACATGGCAGGCACCTGTAATCCCAGCTACTCAGGAGGCTGAGGCAGTAGAATCACTTGAACCCAGGAGGCGGAGGTTGAAGTGAGTTGAGATTGCACCATTATACTCTGCCTGGGTGGCAGGAGCAAGACTCTGTCAAAAAAAAAGAAAGAGAGAAAGAGAGAGAAAGAGAGAAAGAAAGAAAAAGAAAGAAAGAGAAGGAAAGAAAGAAAGAGAGAAGGAAAGAAAGAAAGAAAGAANGAAAGAAAGAAAGAAAGAAAGAAAGAAAGAAAGAAAGAAAGAAAGAAAGAAAGAGAAAGAAAGAAGGAAAAAAAAAGAAAGAAAGGAGAAAGAAAAGAGAGAGAGGGAGGGAGGGAGGAAGGAAAGAAGGAAGGAAGGAAGGAAAGAGAAAACGAGAAGACAGCAGCAGTTCTTTTTGCTACTGCTATGGTGCTGGTGGAAACCATGTGTTCATATCGTGCAGCATTTAAGGTGGTGGGTTCCCATCAGCCTGGGATCCTGGTGACTGGTAGTCGGGGGAGATCCCCACCCCGAATGCACTCTTGTGACACACCCAGTGACCTGCGCTCCCTCTGTGCAATGTGGGAGCAATAGACCTTTGTTTCAGTAAAGCCACGCAAAATCCTCCCTAAGAGAATCTACATAACCAGGATAGTGTAGAAGGACAAGCGTGTGCTGAAAGGGATTTGTTGTTGTTAGCTTGTTTGTTTTGTTTATCATTTCCTAACACTTCCACTTGAGAACATGAAAATTTACCAGAACATTACCATCTGGCACCACAACTAGAAAATAAAACAGTTCTGGAAAAGTTTCCAAAATTCTGAAAACGTGACCTAGTCTTAATGCTCCCTTGAGGCATCTCTTACAAGAGTGATTGTCAGGGGAATTCTCCCGCCTCTGAAAACTGTGAGTTATGTCCCCATACACCGGTGTCTGCTCCCTTGTACCCTCCCCTTCCAGCCTGGAGAGGGCAGGGTCTGAGCTTGGCCCCCAGGGGACCCCTTGCCCTGCCCCTCCATGGATCCTGGAGGAGCAGAGCGAATTGGACCCCAGCGGGAGGGCTGGAGGCCTTCGGCTCTCTTCCCTGGGGCCTGGGCCACTGAGGCTGGGCACGTTTCCAGCTTTGTTGCTGGTCTCTCTTTGGGATTTTCTGATGGGCTGTGGACTCCTGATGGGCTTTTTTTCACCTTGGGCAAATGAACTCTGTTGTATTCTTCTGGGTGAACTTTCCCTAAAGCTAACAAGGCTTAACAAAGGTAACTTGGTGCTGGGAGATGTGCACTCCCTTGATCCACAGACCAGCGGTAGGAACCGGCAGATTTTAACTGAATGTTTTCCCCATTTGCTTTTGCCTCCCCCTCACTCTGGGGCCCACCCGAAAGGGGGAGATTACGGTGGAGACACTGAACACAAAGCTCAGGGACAGGACCATTGCACTCAAAGGCCCCTCCTGCCCAGGGATAAGGGTGGAGGGCAGTACACTGCAGTGGAAACAGGCAAAGGAACTTGTGTGCTTTAGGCCTTGATACGTCCAGGTGGGATAAAAGAGGAGCTCAGCCCAGAATGAGGGAGCTGAAGCGGACAGGGGCGCCGGGAAGCTGGAGTTGTGTTTCCCAGCTGGAATTTGCGGAACGCAGCCTCTGCATGTGCTTCCCCACCAAGCTGGATCGGGAAGCAGTGCTATTGGAGGCAGGGTGGGGAGGAAAGGGGAGGAGAGACTGAGAGAGACAGAGAGACAGAAGCAGAGACAAAGAGGTGGAGAGAGGAAGACAAAGCAAGTGCAATAGACAGCTTGAACCTCCCATGTGGCATAAAAGTTTCCAAGGGCCCAACCTGAGTGTGATGGTTAATACTGAGTGTCAACCTGATTGGGTTGAAGGATACAATCCTGGGTGTGTGTGTGTGAGGGTATTGTTAAAGGAGATTAACACTTGAGTCAGTGGACTGGGAAAGGCAGACCCACCCTTAATCTGTATGGACACAATCTAACCAGCTGCCAGCGCAGCTAGAACATAAGCAGGCAGAAAAATGGGAAAAGAGAGACTGGCCTGGCCTTCCCATTTACTCCTTTCTGCTGTGCTGGATGCTTCCTGCCCTCAAACAGTGGAGTCCAAGTTCTTCAGTTTTGGAACTCGGACTGGCTGGCTCTCCTTGCTCCTCAGCCTACAGACGGCCCACTGTGGGACCTTGTGATCGTGTGAGTTAATACTTAATGAACTCATTTAATAAGGATTAACTCACATGATCACAAGGTTCCATAATGGGCTGTCTCACGCACACACACACACACACATATATGTATATATGTAAGTCATCTTACATATATATGTAAACTCATATATATGTAAACTCATATATATGTAAACTCATATATACGTAAACTCATATATATATGTAAATTCATATATACGTACACTGATATATACGTGAACTCATATATATGTAAACTCATATATACGTGAACTCATATATGTAAACTCATATATGTATGTAAACTCATATATACATGAACTCATATATATGTAAACTCATATATATATGTAAACTCATATATATTCCATTAGTTTTGTCCCTGTAGAGAACGCTGAGTAACACACTGAGTATCACATTAACTGGGAGAATCAGTCCGAGTTCCAGCCCCAGGGATGTCTGATGGAGTATGGGCTGCACCACAGGGACACAGGTGGAAGACCTCTGAGGGCGTGGGGAAAGGGCTGGGGCCTGCATGGTATCCTTAGACATACTTTCTGTTCCTGTGGATTTACCAGAACCCTAAATGAATGCTGACCCTGCTGCCTGGCTAGCTCAGTGGAAAGGAAGGCTAGAGGGGATGGCAGGAGGAGGTCGGCAGAGGAAGAAAACCCAGAGGGAGCATGTCAGCAGTCTGTAGACTATGGGCCTTGGGCCAGATTCTGCCGGCCACCTGCTTTTGTAAATGACATTTGACTGGCACAGCCACTGCCATTTGTTTACCTACGATGCCATCATGCTAGAGTCTAGTATTTGCAGTGGAGACCTTATGGCCCCCAAAGCCTAAAATATTCACTATCTTCCTCTTTACTAAATATGTTTGCCGATCCCTGGACTCTCACTTAAATAATAATCTTGAATTTGACAACAAAAAGAAGACAGACATTAGGTCGAACTGAAGATACTAGAAGGCATCTCGATCGAGGTTTCTTATCATCAAGGGGAAGGAAAATTCAGGTCAACAACACCTCGGAGTTCAATAGAAAGTCTTCCAGTTAAATATGAGGAGTAGGTCCAGCCACAAGGGAGGTATTA